CGCACCGCCGTCCCCAGCCACGGAGGCGCGGGCGGTCACTTCGCAGTGGTGCCCCGGTGACCTTTAAAGGGCACAGAAGGGACCGGGACTGAGCAGAGCCGATGACCGGTCCCCAAAATAGCTGCGCGTCCTCCAAGACCTTGGGGGCCGGCGGGGAGCGGGCGGCGGCAAGTGGGCCGGGGGACCCCGACCCAGCCGTCCCGCCCCGACTCACCCACCACCTTGATCTTGATGCTGGCGTGGGCCTCGCCCGCCTCGTTCTTCAGGTTGATGTGGTAGACGCCCGAGTCGTCCCGCTCCGCCGCGTCGATGACCAGCGTGCTGCTGTCGGGGTAGTGCTCCGACCGGATGCGGCCGCTGCCCTCCATGATGGCCTGGCCGGGAGGGGACAGCGCAAGTCACACGCGTGGACTTGAGCCCCACACGGAGCTAAGGGCCAGACACGCCGGGTCGTTTTAATCCTGCCCCCTCTCCCATGAGGGAGGCATGTTTTATTTACTTGTTTGATTGGTTTTTTTGAGACAGGGTCTCACTATATACAGTATGGGCTGGTCCACTGTGTAACCCAGCCTGGCCTTGAACTCCTGGTGACCTCCTGCTTCAGCCTCCTGAGTGCTGGAATTACAGGCATGCTCCACCACTTCCGGCAACTCTTTGCTCTTATGGCTGGGTTAGGACTCCTAAATCTTCAAAAAACATGTGACTGTGACAACAATAAGAATCCCTGAAACCATTTTCATGATTATTCTACTTCATAATGGAATGAAATCTTTCATCTTACTGTAGCCAAATTCTAACAGAGGAGTATAAAGTATGTTCTACCTTTCTGATTGTGAAAGGAAAGATATTTATTCAGGGTAGTGTCACATTAGCCTCTTGAGTTTTCTGTATTTGTTTAGTTTGTTTGTTTGTTCCACCTTTATTTCCATAAAGTTAAACCTACAATTTTTGGATCAATTATTCTGTGAATTTTGACAAATTGATGCAGTCGTAGCCATCACCATAACCAAGATAGATACAGATTATTTCTGTCATCTCTATCAATGTCCCCGTGTCCCTTGAGCCAGGCAACACCCATGCCCTGGTCTCTGGAGACTACTGGTCTACTACCTGCCCCTAGAGCTTTCTTTCATCCCACATACCATATAACTGGAATCAAAGAGCAGGCAGCCTTTTGAACCTGGTGTTACACTGCACGGTGCTTTGTAAACTCATCCATGTTGCTCCATCTATTATTAGTACGTTCTTTTTCATCACTGCATAGTATTCTATCACACATTTCATGCACTGTTGGTTCACAGTATAAAACAACGTCTAATTAGTCAGTCATTCCTTCTACTATATTTTTCATCTGACACGTTCTGGAGTTTTTATCTCTAGGTAACTTGATTTGGGTCTTTTGTATATTTCCCCAACTGTACTTCAATTTCTCTTAAGTTTAAATTGAGAGCTAAACATTTCTCCACCTGACATCTTGAATGTATTAAGCGCAGTTATTCCAGTTCCCCTGTCCTTGTCTGCTGGTCCTGATACACAGGTGAGAGCTGGGCTGGTTTCAGTGGACTTTTCTCCTCATGGATTTCTCTGCTGTCCCGCGCAACTGCCCGGCACACACTGCAGACTGTACTTTATTCTGGGATGCAGTGATATTATCCGCAAAGTGACGCTTCAGGGCTTGTTTTCGTGGTTTGGGAGGTAGGTTCTGGGCAGCCTCCGGGCCGGGTAAACGACTCCTCAGTCCCTCCGCACCGCGGTGAGCTGTCGAGGCTGGCTGGGGGCAGCACTATCCCGGCACCGCGCTCCCCTTGCTGTTCGTCCTCTCCTCCCCCACGGTTCCTTCGGTCTCGCTGCCGCCTCAGCGCAGTGCTCGGCGCATCCCGCAGGGCCGCTCTCTGCCGCGGGTGACCCCCCTGCCTCGGCCTCCCGGCGCACGCGGAGCCTCAGGCTTGGTTTCTCTCGCTCCCGCGCTGGCCGGAAGCGCCTCAGGGCGCAGAGCTGGGCAGCTGCAGGGCGCGGCTCCCCGGGGTCCAGGCGCCCGCGTGCCGCTCAGCTCGCTTCTGCCCAGGCCGGCCGCGCCCCAGCGGTGCTCCCCGGCGCAAGCCCCCTCCTCGGCCTCGGCGCCGCGCGGCTCCCTCTGCTCTCCCGCAGCTCCGCCCGGCCCTCGTGGGGCTCCCGGCCCGCTCCCCTGGGTCTCCGTGGGAGACTTTTATCGCCCAGGGTGGCCTCGCTCCTTTGTTTGCCCGCTGACTTGATAACTCAGCGAGCGGTGCTCTTGCACCCCACCCCTGCCACGCGTGGAGTGAAAATGGGGATCGTGTCCACTCCGCGCAAACCACGCGTGGCCGCACCGAGCAGGACAGCGACGTCCGTGAGTGATGCCAGCTCTGCCCGAAGTCCGCCCGCTTTCCTTCCCCAAGGAATTGCACCTCTACCTTTACTGGCTTCGCCCCTCTCCTGCCTAACAGAGAGCAAGGGCAGGGATAGTGTGTGTGCGTGTGTGTGCGCGCGCGCGCACCCCAGGCGGTGACAAACCTTATCCGCCCGGCTCCAGATGGCCTTCGGAGGGGGCTCCCCGGTGATGGGGATCTCCAGACGCAGCTTGTTCCCCGCGATCACTGTCACGGTGTTGTCTGCGTCCAGGCCGTCCAGGATAATCCTGGGAGGATCTGGAAAGGCAAGCGGAGATGTTGTCTTCAGAGGGGGATGCCCAGGAACACCCCCCCCGCCCGCGAGGCGCAAGAGCTACAGGGGCACACCGAGCGGCCTCTCAGCCGGCCAAAGGCTCCCAGGGGGGTCAGGGAGTGAAGGCTGGTGCCTGGCACCCTGCAAAACTTTCTCATTGTCAGACTTCAGAGTCAGCACTTTGCTTCACGATTGATATCAATCGATGCATTTTTTATCACGAAGATTTGGATACATTATAATTCTCAGGCAGGTGGGAGCAAACACACAAGAGACGATTGTGCGATGGTTTCTTTTATCAACTCACCAATAACATGAACTTTGGCGGACATAGGGATATTGTAGGCGTCAGGGGTGAACACATAATCCCCTTCGTCTTCAAGGAGGGCGTTGGCGATGACTAACTTGTGGATTCTAGGAAACATGGAAAACACATTTCTAAAGACTTTGCAGATAATTAAATTACATGTGGGCCAAACTGAAGAGACACCTGCCCTTCGTCTGATTACCTTGTATCATGCAGGCCAGAAAGGACAGAATGTGAAGGCTTAATCATTCTACTTATTGGCCCAAATTAGATCTCTGTACTTTGGATTAGATGGAAGGATCTCTACAAATGCAACCTGCTTATTTGTATGCAAGAGTCTATTATTTCTCATCTCATAACTTTCAAAGGAATAAAACACACCATCTCAAAAATGGTACACTTGAGCTGGGCATGGTGGCGCACGCCTGTAATCTCAGCACTTGGGAGGCTGAGGCAGGAGGATCACTGTGAGTTTGAGGCCAGCCTGGATGACATAGTGAGTGCAAGGCCAGCCTGAACTACAAAGTGAGACCCTGTCTCAAAACAATAAAAGATAAAAAGCCATGCTACACTTGAAGATTCAAGGAATTACCCACAGTAATCTTGAGTTGGGCTTCCATGTCAAAAGACGAATAGTTCTTCGGTTTATTGGGGTCACGGACCAGTGACTATCAGGTGGGTACTATGGCTTCTCTCTATATATAAAGCACTACTTTGGGGTTCAGGATATAGCTCAGTGCTGGAGCACTTGCCTAGCATAGGCAAACCTCTGAGTTTGATCCTCAGCATGTCAAGAAGATTAAAAAATGACGTAAGAACAAGCTTAACTATGTATTTCTCTTACATGAGAAGCCAAATATGTAAATAAAGTGCAGAGTATGGGATAGATCATAGGAAGCGGGCAGACAGCTCTTTCTCAGACAGAGAGGGGAGCAAGAGCTGGAGGCAGGAGGAGAATGAAATAGGGGTTCAGACGGGTTCTGTACGTGGACCAAGCCCCATGGCAAATGGAGCTGTTATCTACAGCACACGTGCACCAATGGAAAAAACTAAAGTTGAAAAAAATAAAGTTGTTGCTATACTGACTAAAAATATAACACATAGAGGCAATACTTTGAGATTATGTGAGTGTATATTTTTGTACGCAAATAGAACTTCCTCACCATTTCAGAGGATTTATGGGATCCCTAGAAGTTCATTTGTGGTCTCAGAAGAGTCCGTGGGCCCACGGTTACAAATTTTGCTTTATGTCTTTGCTAGATGCTAAGATACTATATATATCAACTTGCCAAGAAGAAAATTTTGGGCAGGTCATGTGATGTTTATTGGTGTCAAAAGACAACACTACAACACATTTGGCTGACAGACTTCATTGGCTTTTTGTTTGTTTTTTTTGTCTTTTTTGAGACAGGGTCTCGCTGTGCAGTTCAGGCTGGTCTTGAGCTCACTGTGTAGCCCAGGCTGGTCTAGAAATTACAACGATCCTCCTGCCTCAGCCTCCCGAGTGCTGGGATGACAGGCGTGCGCCACGTTAGCAATTCTGCAAGGGGGCCGCACTTCATTCTGCGAAGTAGCACGAGTGTCCTGTCAGCCGAGCAGAGGAGAGTGGCTTCGAGCCAGGAGAGCAGGGACGGAAAACACAAGGTGGTTATTTCACCGGCACTTTTTAAGTACAGGTTCCCGCGGAAGGCGCCTCCTTGGGTAAGTTAGCACTGGCCTATTTGAGGACTGGGCCATGAGTTCCCTTTCTCCTGATTTCCTAGGAGGTCAGGTAAACAGCTGGGCGTGGTGAAGGCCGCACTTAGCACCAGCATCTCCGCTTTGATCGGGCCTGCTGGCCTGGTCCGGAGGCTCAGTCCAAACCATTGTCTCCTGGAAATCCTATTGCACACGGGTGGGGACAGTCGGTACATTTGCCCGGGGCCTCGGCCGGACTCCATTCATATCCCGCGGCAGTGAGACCAGCCGGGGCTTGGGACATTCACAGCCCCACGGAGCGGGGCGGGGGTCCGGGACTCGGGGGGCCGCGGGGAGCCCGGTGGTGGGAGAGAACGTGCCTGCTCTTGCTGGCAGGAGGAAGAGCCCACAGACAGGTCAGCTCCCCAGGGCGCCCTCCCAGCGAGAAGGAGGCGGAGCTGTCCCCCGGAAGCAGCCCCGCGGACAGGGTCGTCCCGTCCGCTTACCGTCCTTTGTGGACAACCTTCAGCCGGTCAGTCTCCTGGACGGGCAGGCCGTTTTTCGTCCACTTCCCGGGCACGTTCTCAGAGATCTCACACTTCAAGCATATTTCTTTGCCAAGCTTTACCGTCTGGTCAGTCAGGGGCGTCATGACCTTCAGAGGCTTCACTGTGGAAACGGAGTGTCACCAGCCAGGGCACCTCGAGGCGCCGTCCCTCCCGCCGCGGCACTGCGCCACAAATGCGAGCGCTACACCAAGGGTCACAGGAGCATAGACCAGGCCCGTGTACCCCGTCCTGCTGCGGGGCGCCTGGGTGAGCGCGGCAATCCGCACCCCGCTGAATGGAACAGACAGGTTTCTCGTGAGGTTTTTAGCTGTTTTTAAAACATGTCACCAACAAAGACCTTTGAGTGTTGGACCGATAACACCACTGCTCCTACAAACCTCATGGCTTTATTGCATGGCTTTTAGAAATGTGGAACTTCCCTGATAGCAGAACCCATGATAATTGCTTTAAGTGGGTGCAAAGAGCAGGTGAAGGTCTGCCTGTGTTTGGAAACCTTTCTAACAGTGAAGCTAAAAGGTTCACAGTCCTGCAAAGCATAAAGAGTGTGGTGAGATTGCTTCTGAGTCAATCAATGATCATATAAACTACAACCAGACCAACACAGAAGTCAGGAAGCAAGATTTTTCTTTTTTTTTTTTTTTTGAGACAAGGTCGCTATGCAGTCCAGGCTGGACTTGAAGTCATTATGTAGCCTGGGTTGGCCTCAAACTCACTGTGATCCTCCTGCCTCAGCCTCCCGAGTGCTGGGATCACAGGGATGTGCCACCACTGTTTCAATTTTTATGGCAAACTGGGGCCAGTTCTGTCATGAGTAAATGTCTCCTGTTAGAGGGCATTTGGGAAAGCACAGTAATTCTCTAATTCTCTGAAACCTAGTAGCAAGCACGCTGCTACTCATCCAGCAGGTGCTTTTAACTGCTTGCCCCCGGTGTGAAATCCTGACTCATTTCTTCTCACCCAAAGCCGCTGAAGACCTTGGGTGAGACTTTGGGTGTGTACTTAATGAGCAGACAGCAAGCTCCCCTGTGGAGTAAGCAGACACTGTCAAGATTCGGTCCAGTCTTGGGATTACAGCCTCAGGGGCAGCCTTCCTGGCGGTGACTTCTATACTTTCTCCCCAGAGTTGGTGCTCTTTCATACATTGAGTAGCTGCTGTCTGCTCTCAGAAACCCTGACTCATCCGACATCGATGCCCCACCAGAACGGAATCCAATTTTGCGTGTTTCACAATGCCCCGTGTAGAAACCAAACAGGCCCGACTTCCCCAAAAGTGGGTTAATCAACCCAGCACCGTCTGTGGGCGGGTTCGGAAGACACGCATAAAGAAACGTCACTCACAGTCGACGCTGAGCTTAGCGGTGGACTGCCCGCCCGTGGTCATCACCGAGTATTCCGCGCTGTCGGCCTTGGTCGCCCCTTCTATGATCAGAATGTGTTTCTTGCCCTCCACTTTAATTCTGTATCTTGACTTGGGGCCGGGGATGATCTCCTCGCCGTTCTTAAACCTGAGGGAATATGGATTACGGGAAGAGTTTTACAACATGATCTTCAGGGAGCAAAGCTCACCGGTCTCGTTCACGGCTTTATTCTAGCAGCATCTAGTTTCAGGCAGATCCCCAACAGGCCAGAATGAACGTAGCCATCACGTCACATATCCACAGATTCCCACTGTGACAAGGATCGTGGAGAAAATTACATCAGAGGAACATGAACCACCCCTTGTCATTTACGAGCAGGCAGGCGCGCTTGCTGAGAGTGACTGATGCCCTCTTCTGGGCTTGTGACACATTTTATTTATTTATTGTGGTGCTGGGGATCGAACCCAGGGCTTTGTGCATGTGAGGCGAAAGCTCTACCACTGAGCCACATTCCCATCCCGCTGTGACACATTTTAAAGGTAGCTATGATTCTAGATGTGCATGAACAGTCTACTCTGTACCAATTACTACAGTTCCTGACTGTGTTTCCCTACTGAACTATTGTTATTTTTATTTGTTTTTTTTTTTTTTTGAGATCAGGTCTCAGTATGTGGTCTAGCCTGGTCTTGAACTCAACATTGGCCATATTGGCCTTGAAGTCGTGGTGATCCTCCTGCCTCAGCCTCCTGGATGCTGGGATTATAGGCATGCATCATTACATCTTGCTAATGGACTAGACTTCTTAATACATTTCACTTTAAGATTTTAAGTTGTCTAGTTTATAATTTTAAGAGAAAACATGTTAGAAAACACTCCTCACCTGACCCAAAAACAAACAAAAAAGCTTTAGTTAACGATTTTACTTGTTCATTTGCTTATTTATTTATTTACTTTTAGGTGCTGGGGATGGAATCCAGGGCCTCACACATGCTAGGTATGTGCTCTACCACCAAGCCAAATCCCCAGCCAGCCCTAAGTCTTTATAATGCTTTATGAGCAGTGATTCTCAGCCTGAAATATTTTTCTGGAGTATTGTAAGGATAAAGTGATGAAGCTCTGAGTGAAAACTACATGAATATGTTTTCCATAGAAGTTCCAGTGAGCACAGAGAAGAGACCTCATGTAGGGATTAAGATTATGCAGGGGCTTTGGAGTCTCACAGAGCTGGATAACCGGGGTGACCTCTTTTATTAAGTACCTACCTCCTGCATCTTTCCCAACATAGGTTTCTGGACCTGTTTTCATTCTAACAGGTGAAAAGAACCCCAGTCAGTATAGTTTGGGGGTCTTGGGGGGTCTTTTAGAGATAGGGTTTCACTGTGCAGTTCAGGCTGGTCTCAAACTCGTGGTGATCCTCTTGCCTCAGCCTCCTGAACGCTGGCATTATAGGTGTGCACCACCATGCCCGGAAAGGTTCCCGTATGTTTCACATGTTTAAAGGACACTTGTATTTCTTGTTCTGTCCACTAGGAAGGTGCTCTAATAGGCAGAAGTCTTTGAGAACGGGCAGACTTCGGGAGAGCTGCTCACCATTTCACATTGGCATCATCCTCAGACACTTCGCACTCTAACTCCACTCGCTCCCCGCAGTAAGCGTTTGTGTCTTCCAGCTGCTTGGTCACCATGATCGGAGGCTCTAGTGTGGAAAAGCAGGGGACTCAGAATCATGAAATATGCGAAGCCTGTCTCCTGAGCCCTGATTTGTTCACAGACAAACACCCAACAATACAAAATCCTATCTGCTGTCACATGGTTTAAAAAGAAAGTGAGGTGGTTTTGTTTTGTGTTGTGTTTTTAATGATTTGTTAGAAGGCCTTTGATTGGCAAAACAAACACCTGGTGATTCGGGGTAAGTTCTTCCAATTTTCACAGAACTCTCCAAGCTGAATCCATTGCTGTTCTGGAGAGCAGACACAAATCTGTGAAATTTCCTTCCCCCAGTGAAAAGGAGAGTAGGCGGGAGACACTCCAGTGGATGAGGGCGGGACCTCGGCAGGTGTTTCACTTGGGTTTGGCAGTCTGAGACCCTAGCGTTGTCTGTGATCAGAGGGTGTTGTCTGTGATCGGAGGGCTCTGTGACAAAGCTGAGGGACACATGGATTCTTGACCTCTCCTAGTACTCCTAATACTCTAATGTGCACCTTCATAATCTGGGCCACAGATCACTAAATTTCATTATCTTGCTGACATCTATGTTTTTGTTTCCAAATACTCAAAGACTGTCTTAATAGGTCATAACTGGTACATGGCACAGCACTAGTTCTTATGCTCATTGAACGGACCATCACCAGACTTTGAGAGGCGTCTCAGCAATGACTCGAAATCTACTGACTTCGGCCGCTCTGCCGAGAGTCCTGCTTGTGACCAGCGGAGCGTGTGAGCCCAGGCCTCTCGAGGGAAGCCGCAGGAGTCGTCACTAGAACAACTACCTCGCACCACCTGTGTGGCTTGAGCTAAAACCACAAGCGGCCTTGACTCGGCCTTTTCTCCCGCGCTGGGTCATCGTGACGTGCTCCCCATCACCAAAGCCAAGGACACAGCAGAGCCCGGAGCCGAGCCAGCCCGGGAGCCCAGCCCGCTGTGCCGCAGGTGGGGCAGCATGTCCCGGGGAGGGGGAGATGTGGTTACCTCTCACGAAGAGCTCCGTGGAGCACTTCTCATCGCCAGCCGTCACGTAGTACTCCGAGTCGTCTGTCAGGGAGCAGTTATTGATGAACATGATTCTCTCGCACCCTTTGTGCTCAAAGATGTACCTGTTTTCAAGAGAAGACAAGTCCAGTGCATGTGTTTGCTTTCATTCTTTATCACCGGCAAATCTGGCTTGAGCTTTGGTAATATTTGAATTTAAGTGATGCAATTTTCATTGTCTACTTATATATTATAGAGGTGGATTTGTTTTTTTCTTTTTCTTTTTGAGACAGGGTCTTGCTATGCAGTTCAGGCTGGCCTTGAGCTCACTTTGTAGTCAAGGCTGGTCTCAAACTCAAAAAGATCCTCCTGCCTCAGCCTCCCGAGTGCTGGGATCACAGGTGTGTGCCACCATGCCGGGTCACTATTTTAGAGTTTAACATGAAACCAAAACCAGTTTTCATCTTTGTGATATAAAATAGGCATGTTTATATATACTCTCTAGTTTTTGTTCTTTTATATAGTATAAGGTTTTTATTTAAAATATAAACCAGTTACCACATACATGCTGTTTAATTTATTTTACTCACTGCTGGAAAATCAGGTTGCTTGAGAATGCCAGAGAGATTTTTACTCTCTATTTTTTAAATGACTGTACAGGGGGATTTTCTTATTTATTGACATGTACCTCATTCATTACTAATCCAGGGACACCATAGATTTTGTTGGGTTAGTAAGTGATGGCTCAATTTAAGCAGTAATGGTGGGCATGGTGGCGCATGTCTGTAATCAGAAGGGGAAGGCTGAGGCAGGAGGATTACTGTGAGTTCAAGGCCAGCCTGAACTACATAGTGAGACCCTGTCTAAAATAATAATAATAATAATTAAAGCAATAATGTGATCTTTGTCACTAATATAATTCTACATTATGTGACGGTCTGTTAAATGAACTTAAGAACCAGAGCTGTATCATGTACCAGTTACCATCTATTAAAACAGTCTTTGGGAATTTGGAAACCAAAACGTAGTTGTCAGCAGGATAATGAAATTTAGTGGTCCATGGCCCAGATTACAAAGAAGCACATTACAGTATTATAATACACCAGAAAAAAATTTGACTTGGAAACTTCTCCAACAAAATATTCCAGCGTTTTCCAGATAAAGCCAGCCAGTTAAGAATGTGTTTCCGTCAAGCCAGGCCATGGTTAAGAGACGTCCGTGCCAGGTATAAACATGGTCATCGCAAAGTCACTCTTGGTATGGCCACGTTGAGAAACTGGAAACCACCTCATTGTACCCAGAAGTGACAAATTTCCAGGATTAAAGTTGCTCATCGATGTGCACGTGGCTCTTGTTAACTTAAAAAAATATACAGGAGTTGACAATCTCTCAGGCTGAGGAGGATCTCTGGAAAGTGGTTTCATAAGAGGCCAGAGATAGCATCAGCCCCAGGGATTAGCTAGTCTCCCTCCCCTGGGAGAGAGCCACGGAATAATAAAACACAGCTTAGGTCCCCGTCGTGAGCCAGCGGCGTTCTGCTCAGACGCAGAGCCCCACACTGAGCACAGATGGGGTGCCGTCATCTTTAAATACAGATGCTGACAGGGTGTGGTGGCACACGCCCGTCATCCCAGCACTCAGGAGGCGGATGCAGAAGAATCGTTGCGAGTTCAAGACCAGCCTGGGCTATAAAGTGAGCTCAAGTCCAGCCCAAACTGCATAGCAAGACCCTGTCTCAAAAATAAGTAAATAAATAAATACATACATACAGATGCTAATTTGGAAAAACAAAAGTCATCTCATTGTGACATGTGATTCCCAGCTGACATATCAAATCTGTACCTCAGAATTTTAAATTCCTATTTGAAAAATTGAGAGAAATCTAGCAATGCTTTACAATAGTTAATACAGTACAACCTACAGGGGCACAAAATCGTGGCTGGGACTTACTTGAAGTAACCTGCATACGGCTAAACATAAAAGGACCACACCATGATTTTAAGGGTTTCAAAATACATGAAAAGAGACTTACACCTGAAATGAAAAGAGATCTCCTTTCCTATTATTGTGCATTATAAAGATGCAACTAAAAGTGTTCAGAGCTTGGAGAAGTCAAACTACTGTTTGATTTGTCTGTGTATCATGAATTAGTTGCAAAGCCCACTTACTTGGTGCTGGGTCGAATTTCCTGACCGTTTTTGTACCATTTCACTTCCAACTTCGGATCTGCCAGTTCCACAACAAACCTTACTCTGCCTCCTTTATCAACCTGATATGCAGGATCAAGAATTTTTGAAAAAGCTGGTAGACAGAAGAAGCACAAGTATGTCAACGTGTGTGTCCATGTGCTATCAGGCTAAATAGTCAATCTACATATGCAAATCTAAAGACAAATGAAAAATGCTGGATGTAGCAGCACATACCTGTACTCCCAGCACTTGGGAGGCTGAGGCAGGAGGATCCCATAAGTTGGAGGCCAGCCTGGGCTACCTAGTGAGTCTACAGTCAACCTTAACTACATAATGAGACCCTGCCTCAAAAAATTTTTTTAAAAAAATGAAAAAAATAAGTCTTGGGGAAGAAAAACTTAGGAAAATTCCAAATTACTCTTTATATTTTAGAATTTCATGCTGACTTAAATACTAAAGGATAGTTTTTAAAATGCAATTCACATGCTTTGGGAAGAAACGTGAGAATGTTGAAGCAGCATTTAAAATGACCTGCTGGGGGTTGCCAGCTCCTCTGATTTCTTTCCTGATACATTCACACTGTGTATAAGGCAATCTGTGTAGAATCTTTCTCAGAGGAAAAGTTACTCAGACAATGTCTTCTGTTTAATTTCCCTGCATTTCAATGCATACTTTCTCTTCATAAGTAAAAGCAGAAAAAGAAAAAATAATAAATAAAATGACCTGCCTCTAGAGGGATTCACACAGAAAACTGTCTTTAGGAACATGATTCTTCCCCAGCGTTAGCATTAGGGTTACTAGCACCTTTTTTAAAAATATACTTTCTATGTCACAGTTTTTTTTGTTTTTGTTTTTGTTTTTTGTCTTTTTGAGACAGGGTTTCATTATGCACTTCAGGCTGGCCTTAAAATCACTTTGTAGCCCACGCTGGCCTCGAACTCACAAAGATCCTCCTGCCTCAGCCTCCTGAGTGCTGGGATTACAGGCATGAGCCACCACGCCCGGCTTATGTCATAGTTTTTTTTAGCCATAGAATTTATGAGATAAATTCAGTGATTTATAACATTAAACTGTATGCCTTTGACTAACTGAAGTAGTAGATTTATCAGAGCTTTTGTACCGTGGAAACATGCCCAAATAGTGAGATATAAAAAACACCCTTCACCTCCTGGTTAGTTAGGAACTCCGGATTTCCAAACACTTTAAATAACACAGAACACAATAACTTAAAACACAATAACATATTTTCTTTGAAGGCTCTTCTATAGAAGTAGCCAATTTTTAAAAATTAATATTGTTTGATTTTAAGATAATTCTCACACAGACAGTTTGAAAAATACTGCATATATTTTCCTACTGTGAGGTGCACCAGGTTTCATGCTTGTATTTCTGCCTTTCTGACCTTATTACACTGTAGATTAAACACCCTCACTTTCTCACATTTTAACAAAATAAAAATGAACATTAGCTTTAAAAAAGCCATATATTCAGAACTGATAAGGACAAAGAGGTCTCATTAGCGGGCAAGAGAAGAGTCCACTGGCTCCCACGCTGTGTTCAAGCCCACGCTTTCTCAGAACATAACTTTTGGAGCTCTGGGACAGTGAGAAGTTTAGAAAAACAGAGCCGATTTTAAAAAAGAAGCAATGCGTCTAACAGTCGACAAGAACAGCACTGACATCTAACCCCAGGTACACCACAGCAGTGACCCACAAGGATCTAGTCCAGGAAACTTGTTTTTTGTTGCTGTCTGATTTTTTTTTTTTTTTTTTTTTTTTTTTTTTTTTTTTGAGACAAAGTCTCACTGTGTAGCCCAAGCTGACCTCAGACTCCCAGTGATCCTCCTGCCTCTGCCTCCTGCATCACCACGCACGCCTGGCCAGGAAACTTGAAAGAGAGGACGATCAATCTAAAATGCGCTCCTTTTTCTCTCCTTTCCCGCTGTAACACGGTACTGAGGACCACAACCAAGGGCGTTCACTTCAGATCCCCAGGGAGAAGCAACGTTGTTTTAGAAAAGAGAAGTCCGCAGGCCTATTATGTTTTAGCATCATCTCATGCTAAAACAAAGCGACACAAGCTCTCCTTTGCCTAATAAGAGTCTGAGAGGAAGGAGAGGCGGAGAACGTTCCTAGTGGCCTGTGATGTGCAGGCCGACAGCGACTCCATCTGCAGCCCAAGATAGCCTGCACCCCAACCCAAACCGGATGCGAGACAGTGGGACGCACCTGGCCCACGCGCACCTGGCCCTCGCGCACCTGGCCGGCCCGCGCTCACCTGCGCTCTTCTTCTCCACCCTGCGCATGCGCTTGAGCCGCTTGAGCATCCCCCGCAGGTCGGTGATGCCGTACTGGAAGGCGATCTTCTCATACTCATTGGGGTTCGCGTTCTTCAGCAGCTCCCAGACGTCCACCTCGGGTTCCTCCTCCTGCTGCTTCACCTCCCTACCCGGGAGAACCACGGCCTAGGTTAGTAGCTGCCCTGGCCCCCAAGAAAGCAAGGTCAGGGCATGATTCGAATTTGGGGCTGTGTTAAAAGCTGTGGTGAAAGCCCTCAGAAGGCGTCAAGCAAGTCTAATGGTGTAGCTTGAAGTCTTCGGAAATGCCCAGTTAGAAATGTCACCTACTTAAAAACAGTCGGGGGCGGGGGCGGGGGTCAGGAAGCATCATGCGCGCTCAACGTTCACCTCTCATGGAAGATGAGATTTTTGAGCTACTATACTTAAGAACCGCTTTCACCTAGGATGAGGATATTGAATTCACTGTGAAAAGTGGATTAAGAACAAAAGGATTGGGCCAGGGATATAGCTCAGCAGCACATGCGCCTGCCTGGCAAACGCAAGGTCCTGAGTTTGATTCCCAGTAAAAATAAAAAAAGAATGAAAGACTTCAGATATGGCCCTGGGCCTTTCTACATTTATTGATATACACATTTGTACCCAGACGGTCTTTCAAACCTTTGGACTTTGCAAATAGCGTTTTTCCTACCATATTAGTAAATGAGCACATTTACCATTTCCGTTGATTTTATATTCAAAATGGAAACAGCCATGAGGTTTTTTGTTTGTTTGTTTGTTTTTCATATTTTTGTGGATACAGATACTTTCAAAAACAAAATTGTTTTTCCAAACTGGTAGAGAAAAAGAGGGGTCAGATAAAAAAATTCTCTCCTATTTCATCTTAACATATTGCTTTTAATTTGGGCACAGCAGGTAGAGATCAATTATAAACATAAACGCTAAACTGTAAAGCAAATGGCTTGAGGGTCTGTGAACCAGGAGAAAGTAACTTCCTAGGGCAGTTACCAAAATCAAACCCCGAACTCTGATCGCTGGCTGTGAAGAGTGTAGAGAGCAGTTAAAGAACGTAGAAGACTCAAGAGGATTTCAGGTGTAATAAGCACTCGCTTCCCCTTGTTTCACAACCACAACAGGACTCGGAGCTCGGGGATGAGTACCTGAGGAGGACGTGCTTAGTATCAGTGCAAAATGCAACTTGAATTGATTTTCTCCTTGGGCTGCAGCCTGGCTGCCTACTCTGCCCAGGGTCCTCCGGAAGCCGACAGGGACTGCTCGCTGCCCGCGACCCGGTCGTACTCGGTGTCCCGTGAGCGCGTCGCAGCGTGAACGTGGCTCAGGGGTCATGCAGGGGGACGGCTGGGGACACAGGTGTGTCTTGTCACGTTATTCCCGCCGTGTCAGAGTTTCTGATTTATACTTCTGTGTACTTGGAGAGGAAAGTACCAACTTGGAGTCACGGGTGCCGCATATGGGGGGAGGAGAATATGGCGAGCAGCTTTAGGCCAGGGTAAGGTCTAAATATCTGACTTCCATGTTACACGGTCATGTAAATCTTTGTGCCTACAGAGGTCAAAGGTCACAGAGGCCGATCTAGAAAACGGGAGGAAGAGAGGGTTCACGTAGAGGACTACTGAGCCCCGTTAGAAAAATGTGCCCCCCGAATGGCAGGGCAAACGTCGTCTTTGTCTCCCTGTGTGAAAACGCACCCTCTGTTTGTTTTTTGTTTTTTTGTTTTTCTTCCAGTACCAGGAATTGAACTTACGACCTTGCACTTGCCAGGCAGGTGCTTTGTGGCTGAGCTAAATCCCCAGCCCCATAACACACCCTCTGTTAACAGAGGAAATTGAAAAGCTTAAGAAAACTGTCCTGAAATTGGAATATCCATAATCTGCTAGAGCTGATTACTAAGAGCAGTCTGCACTTCAAATACATACTAAAAAGTATTTATTTATGTAGTGACACTGGGGATTGAGCCCAGGACCTTTGCACTGATTTACTTCCCAGTCTCTTTTTATATGTTTATTCTTTACATTTTGAGACAGGGTCTTGCTAGGTTGCTAAATTTCCCAGGCTGGGCTCAAACTTGTAATCCTCCTGCCTCAGCCTCCCAGTGTGCTGGGATTACAGATGTGTGCCACCATGACCAGCTATTTTGAAAGTATTTTAATAGAAAGTCTTGGAGAACTTGCAATTAAATTGGATATGTATGTACATATGTGTATATTCTCTGTGGGCTATTTTTAATGCTTTATTTTTCTTACATTTTAGCTTAACTGTAGTCCCCACACCTTAAAATTATGTCCCTCTAGATTGTGCTAACTTGGAATTTCATTTACACTGCATTTGTTTTTTGAGACAGAGCCTCACTAAATTCATATTTTAATCAAGAAGAACTTCACACTTACGCATTTCAAGTAGCCTCCTGACATTGGTAAAAAGATTGAAAATATCAAACCAGATATAATTTAAATAAAAAGAGGCACAAGGCAAACACAGAGATAGACCCACCAGGGGATGCTATAAGGAAACCAGTAATACAGGTCATAATTTTCCTGAGTCGGTTTTGTTCTTAGATTCATAAAACCAATCATTCTCACCGTTCTTCATCGAAAACCAAGCTACACCCTCCTCTACCAATTAGATGCCCTACAGGACCACCAAGGACTTCTTGCTTGTTCCTTCTTGTGGGTCTACCACTGAATCCTACCCCCAACTGCAGATGGCAGCATTTGTTGCATACGGCCACGTGCAATCAATTATGTCACCTGTGACATCTCCCTCACTCAGCTAGGACACGTCCGTCCTTACCACGGTGCTTTCCGTGACCCTGTCTTCGTGCTTATACTAAGGTACAGCAAGGAGAAAAGCATAAATGTCTCACTCCTTTCCACGGTGGGATAGACCTGTATAACACCCACAATGCTTCCGCCTACATCAAAATTTCTATGACTTGACAGTCCTAGTGGACTGTCCAGCATTTATAGAAATTTTATGTAGGGTAAGACTTTCAAGTGTGTATATAAGTCTAATCCCATAACAGAACCCTGCCCAAAGGATTTCCCTGCTTTATCTATGTGTGTGTGAAATAAGCTGGCTTTGATCAGCTTATTTTGGGGGACAGAAACGTTGGGAACAATGATATTTATGGGGGGAAACTTTGCCACACACTCTGCGGGAAGTAGAAATGGTAACCATGTCGCATGACCACGAGGAAAACACATGCAGTTCACAATTTAGTTGGAACATACAGGGCTTCGAAAGGCGCGAGCGGGTTAGCACAGTATTCAAATCACGTAGTATTATGTGAACAGCAATCTAGTTATGCATCAAAATCTTACGTTGAGGATGTGAAGAAAATGAGAACCGAGGACAGGTTGGTTCCCGGTGCTTTTTCTTTGGTCATTTTCACCATATCGCTAGATTTCTTTTACTGTCAAATCACTGGTAAAACCAGCCTGTTATTTTCTCCTGCTCTTTCCTTCCTAATCAGACAACGGCCCTTGATAATCTACTGCCCTGCAGCTTGACTGACCCCGTGCGTGTTTTGCCTCCTTATGAACACAAACATAAACGCTTTGAGGGAGGGAGAACTTTTCGAGTGAAAGTGCATATTTATTTGCCACCTGCTGGGAGCCAGGCCTCTCAGAGTTAATTTGTACAACGACTCTCTTAAGTCATATTTACTCTCTGCATTTACAGATGTGGGTAGTAAGTCTCAGAGAGGACATATACTTGGACTAAAGTGGCTTAATTAGTAGAGTTGAGATTCTAACGCACGCTTCTGCTGGCCCTCTCCTTCCCGACACGGGAGCGTTCATCCCTTTCTGGATTTCTCAAAACTTTGTGCACCAGGAGCGCTTTGGTATTTTCCGGGCTGAGCAAGTTATTGCAGGAAGCAAAGGGGGAACCGGCTTCCTCAGGTATCTGTGGATTATAAACCGAGGAACCTGCTTCCCGGGGGCAGATTCGGAGGGATTTGCCTTCTGCGGCTGTCACAGGAAACCCGCTGACCAGGGAACTGGCCTGGGTCTCCACATGCCGCTGCTCCCTGGCTGAGCTGGGGGCCACTCACTGCAGGGTGAGCAGAGGGGGCAGCCCCCTGCGGCCACTGTAAATGCAGCTGGAAAACTAACCCAGTTACGGAAACACGCGATAACTGGAGACACCAAAAAGAGGAAAGGTGTATTTGATGTTGCCGCATCTAGTGATTGACTGATATCCGTCAGTAATTCATAAATCATGCCTGTCCGTGTCTCTGCTCACAGCCTAAATGCTGAGGGCTAGAGTACATTTTCATTTCATTCGCCTGAATAAATCCAGCCAACTAAGCTGAGAATAAGCACAAGCCCAGGTTTTTACAAGTTTTGTAATCTGTCGTGAAGCAGATTATTTATTTATTTATTTATTTATTTATTTATTTATTTACAGCATCGGAGATTGAGTCCAGGGCCTTCATGCTGAGCTACATCTCCAGCCCTTTAAAATTTTTTTTTTTTTAAATATGGAGACAGCTTTTCACTGTCATTAAGTTGCCTAGGTTGGGTTCAAACTTGTGATCCTCCTGCCTCAGCCTCCCAAAGCGCTGGGATTATAGGTATGGCAGAAAGCACTAAAAAAAAAATAATGAAAAATCAACCTGAAAAGCTAAATTAAACTATCAGTATTTTGAACTGTTAGTTCAGAATTGTGGTTTTATTGTTCAGTCAAAAATTTACTGGATGAAACAGAATCCCAGCAAAAGTTAATTTGTTTTCCTTGCTTCTTCACTAGTAAATATCTAGTGATAAATCTATGTATAACTTTGTATATAACACATATGTAATATACTGTATGATATGCTCTATACAGACAGAAACCCCATGAAACGGTCATGTGCTATATATTCCTGCTGATATGCTATACATTTTATTGCAAAAGAAAAAAATGTCAAGGGAATATGAATGAGTGCTAATGCTAAACATTTATTTCCAGTCTCCCACCATATCTCATTGCTTCCAAAATGTACATTTTGGGGGACATTTTAAATATCTCTGGAATAAGGATGTATCTTATCAATATTGTGTCACGATAAACCCTTTGGAACATTTTTTCATTGCTTAGTGATTTATAAAATACTTAGTGATTTATAAAATCTATCTTCAAATCATTAGTGTCTTAAATTTGAAGAGATACAGTAACTCATAAACACATCAAAGTCAGTCTGCATCTTAAAATACGGATATATATCTGCAGACTTCTACCAAAAGTGCGGAACTGATTTTTCAGTCAGATATCGAACATCGAGGGCAGAAGAGCAGAAGCCTTATTTTCTCAGTCCTGAGAAAGCACCGTGCGGATGGTGCTGCAGGTTGTCGGCATTGAAGCCTTCCCTCTCAGTTCTCAAATGTCCTCATCCTCAACTAAGAAAATGCACGAAAACACATGAAATCTTTAAAAAGCAAAGTGTAAAAGCATCAGCTGAAGTCGTTCCCGGATTAATACGCGGCTCTTCCTCTCTTTCTTAATGGACTCTGTTATCCTCTATAAGCAAAACACATTTTAAAACAGGATAATTCCTTGAAAAACATTCATTTGAAACTTGACTTTGGGGGGGGCATCTAGCAGACCGCAGGCCACCGCCCCCCTCTGTGGCTGGGTTCTCACCTACGTTTCAGGAGACCACTAAAGTCAAGTTCTCCTGCATCCTCTTGACCTTCTCCGCTGTCGTGGACAAAGAAAAGCAGATGGGATTTAATGCAGGCACACGCGTGACGGCTTCCCCCAAATACCGCAGAGCGCATATGCAATGCGTCTGGCGCGCAAGGCCTAGATCCACACGGACTGTTTCTTTTCACACAAGTGACAGTGGAGTTTTCAGGCGCACAGACTTGTGGAAAGCAAACACGAGGGGCTGGTGCTACCGCACGATTTCAGAGACACGGTTTCGTCAACGGCGTAAAGAAAACTGCTTGCATTTGTGTTAAGATTGCATAACACAAATACCTGTAAGCCAAGCAACGCAAAGTACTTTGTTTTTGCAAATCCAGGGCTCTCACACAGATGTGTGTAAAAAGCAAAGGACTTTTGCTGATCCCTGTCGCTCGTGTAGGACAGCGATTGGCTGGGGGCCGAAGTGTCCCCAGGTCAGGTATATAAGTACAAAGCCTTATATGCAGCAGGCACCTCTTGTGCCCAGGAGCAGATGGATCAGGTCATGTTGGTACCAACAGTGCCAGCGCAGAGGTTTTTAGAAGATGCATTTCTTTCTCTTCACAAGGGACTGCCCTTAAGGGTGCAGTCTCTTGCTTTTCTAGTTACTATCTTTTAGAATGAATTGTCAAACATTTGTCTCGAGATTGTCCGTGAACCCTTTCCTAGCAGCTCTTAGACGTGCTTTCCTACGGAGAAATGCATCTTCAGGGAGGCAGGCGGTCCTGCCGTGACTTTGTAGAAACTCGGAAATAGAAGCTACAGAGCCGACACTGACAGGACACTGCATGTTTACTTACACGTTTAATTTTGCTAATGAAGATTTTTGTTTCCTGCTCTTTACAAGAGTTAGTTTATGGTTTCTAAGAAAAAAGTCTGCGGGTTTAAAAACAGTGTGTATAGAATGTTAAGTCATAAGAATTCAACCCAAGTAACGCGTTTTCAAATTGTCTTTCCTAGCGGGTTTTGGAGGCCCTTTTGAAGTAACTTCTAGTCTCTTAAAATACAAAACAGCAGACTGATGTTTTCCTTGCCTAAAAACACACGTGTCCGTGTCATGAGCAGGATTTTAGACCCGTGCATTTGCTAAAGTCAGCATGGGCTAAAGGTGGTACAGCACCTACGTTCTTAAGCAATAGGATTTGGAAGTTTGACATGTTTTTAAAATTTAAAAAAATACCATTGACTGATCAGGTAATATTCCACATCTTTAAAAAGGTAATACAGATTTTTAAGTTATTGATCATTTAAATGGAAATATGCCTTTATTAAAAGGTTAAATCATTGCTTTATAATTATGGATGAGATACCATTTCAAAATAGTGGATTATTTTATACTTTGGGATAACTTTCCTTATTCAGCAAAGCTGCCTGTGGATTCAGTCTCAGGGAGAACAAATCAGTTGCTCTCAGTAAAGAATTTATGTTATGGCATCATTAAATACACAGGAACATGACAATATGGGGTTAGTTATGCTTCTCAGAATCTGGAAAAAAAATTCATTTTTCTTCCTTGCTCTTGATTTTTCACCCTTGGCAGTTGCAAAAGAAATAAATATTAAAGTTTTACCTTTCTACAATATTCTTTCTGCTAGTGTTTTTTTTTTTTTTTTTTAGGAGAATTCAAGATTATGTGGTGCCAACCTCAATAAGTAACTAATTCATTATGGTTTTCTGGGTACCTGCGTTAGGGACTCTAGAAGTGATTTCTAGATGAAAAGCAATATGAATAGAAGTTTTCTGACGTCATTTCACAGATGCCATATGACACGTGTCTCTGTACAGATCTCTTCTGGCCATTTTGTGGGAAATAATGCATTCAAGGAAGAAGCCACTCATTAACAGTTTGCAAGTCCATTTTCCTAAGCCAATTGTGAGGTCTACAAAAATGAAACTCTCACTCTCACATGAATATTCTTCAAATGTCTCAGAACGTGTTTAGCTGGGCATCAAGCCCATGGCTTTTCTAGAACACCATCTTTTACACACACGGATGCCTGGTGACCGTGGAGAGGGTTCTTCTCGTTTGGAATGCGGAGTGTGGAAGGAAGGAGTGAGTTCTGAAAACCCCCACTTCTGAGCTATACGTGAGCCACCTGGCTCCCCCTCCCGAGGTTACCTTCTCTTGAAGGCGGATCTGATGTCGATGTTTGGTGTAGTCCCAGTAGATTCTTTGAAAGAAGAGGAAAAAATGAAATAAATACCTGTTCCTTTGCAGGCTGTGGGGTTCTTCAGATGGGAATCAGGGTGCGGAGCATCAGGGTGCAGGTGATGGCTGCCCCCCCAGGTGGCCAGGCCACCTGTGCAGAATCGTTCACCCTTCCTCAGGGAGAGCCAGTGGAGGGACCTGGGGCGTTACCGTGTCCGGTTGTCATTCGACCAGCCTGCCTGTTAGAATCGCTCGAGGATCTTAAAAAGACACCACCTTCTTCATCCTTCCTGCTGGAGATTATGATCTACCAGATCAGGTGGGGATGTATATATTCTACAGAACCGGGCATTAAGCTCAGGGCCTGCACATTTAGCTATATCCCCAGCCCTTTAAAAAAAAATGTATAGAGTCTTGCTAAATTGCCCAGGCTAGGCTCAACCTTGCAATCCTCCTGCCTCAGCCTCCCTGAGAGTTGGGATTACAGGCATGCATTGCCACACCTGGCTTGCAAATCAGTATTCTCAAGAAATCCTCCAGGGAATTCTCAAAAATGCATGGCCAAGGTGATGGAAAGAATAACAGATTCTTAGCAATAAAATCCTGCAAACCCTACTTTTAAATGATTCTGTAACAATGTAATTCAGCAGGTTTGCCGAAACTACCACAATCACAAAAACACTATTTTAAGTTTTGAAATTTAAAAAGCTTGAAGGCAATCCCTCCCCACATCCGGCAGCGTTAGATGGCCTTCTTCTCGGCCCCCGCCCCACCAAAGATCCTTCTTCAAGCAGAAAGGGGTCAAGGCTTGCAGAGAGCGGGAGGGGGGAGGGGGGAGCACAGATGAGAGGAACAGAACTGGGAAAGGAATGGGCCAGAGAAAGTAAAATCCGATCACCGTGCACTTCCAGGTCAAAGGAGCAGCTGTCGAACTTGTCCTTGTAGGTCACCTCGCACCGGTAGTTGCCCGCGTAGTTCTCTTTGGCCTTGATGATCTGCATCTCAAACGTGTACATCTGCAACGAAAGGAAGCTGGGGCGCCTGCGGCCGGAGTCCTCGGCTGGGCCCGGCCCAGGGCCACCCCGCGAGCCACCTGCCCGGCCGTACCCGCGTCTGCCGCTCGAAGGTCTCCTTCAGCTGCAGGTGCTTCCCCGCCTTGCTGGCCAGGTCCATCCACTTGCCCTTGAACCACTTGACGGTGGGCTTGCGCAGCAGATCCTCCGCCTTCACCTTGGCCACGAAGGTGATGTTCTCACCTGCAAGCAGCGTGGCTCTGTCTGTCCGCTCGCCCGGCGCCTAGGGCTGGAGCGCTGGCTGCCGACCCGCACCCCGCACCCCACAGGCTGGACCGGCTCCGCACCTCCCGGGCGGGCAGGGAGGAGCCACGGGGAATCAGCAGGGGGAACCGTTATGTACAGATCAGAGTATACACGGGACTGCGAGAGAATGAACAGATGCCAGGGATTTGTGTGTCCCTTCTATTACACCGGGCATCGTAGGGACACAGCTGCATGGTTATCCGTGCCGGGGGACTGTGTGTGTGACCGATTAGATCGCACCGTCAGACCGGAGCATGGCCACAACCCGGCCGCCAGGAGCCCCCAGGAGCACAGGGGTTGGGTTTAGTGTCTACATGTCAGACCTGGAAGAGGTCATTCTGAATGTGGTTAGCGATGTGCTCAATGGCAAGTGTCAAAGATGGCCCTGGACATAACATTCCTTGTAAAGTTTTGTGCTGGGCATGGAGGCGCACGCCTGTGTTCCCAGCACTCAGGAGGCTGAGGCAGGAGGATCGCTATGAGTTCGAGGTCAGCCTGGGCTATATAGTGAGTTCAAGGCAGCCTGAGCTGCATAGCGAGACCCTGTCTCAGAAACACAAAATTAAAAAAGCAAAAAACAAAAAAATCGTTAACCGTGTGAGGTCAGTTTTCCCTACAGAAAAAGCGAGTCAGGAGATTGCAGAGCAGGCGCTCACCAACTTTCACTGCTCCTGTCTGCGGCTTCTCCACAAACAGGGTGGACATCTGCGAGTTGGCATTCTGCTTGTCCTGTTCCTCCCCGCCGCCACCGCTGCCGCCGCCGCCACCGCCAGGGGACTCGCCGAGGGACCATTCTGGCGGGCAGAAGCGGGCAGCGTCAGTGGGGCGGCTCCTCGGGGCGCACTTACCTGAGCCTGCGCCGTGCTCGCGTCTCTCTCCTGCCTCCTACACCCGGATCCTCCCGGGAGTCTCTTCCACGGCGGGATCTGCTAATCCCTAGAAACAGCGGGGCTTTTCTGCTAAGTGTCAGATGCCTCAGTTTCCCCGTCCTGCCTTGCTGGACCGCCGCTGCTGGGTGGCTAAACAATCCAAGGGCTGCCCGGGCACCCGGGCTTGCCAGGTTAAACAACAAGACCCCCGCCTGCAAGTACAAAGGGGAGTGCCGGAGGGCTGTCCTGAAAGCAAAAGGCGGAAAGAAAAGGAAGCTTGTTTTGCACGTTCCAGCTCGCCCTGGTCTGCGGTCCATTCCTCCGTCTCTCGGCTGAGTTCAGGGAGTTCGGGGTCCACCAGTCAGCGCTGAGAAGGAAGTGCGTGCGTCGTCAAGCCTCTGCTTGTGAGGGTGTCTCGGGAGGGAGGAGGATGCATCCAGTTATCCCAGCCTCCACGTACCCGTCATGCTCGGAGCCACGTGTCCGTGCCCATAGGACGCCACGGTCATAGAGAAGTTAAGCGAAGTGGGGGGGGGGGGTCATTCGCTTTTAACGCCCAAGTTAATGTGAAAATTGTGCCTTGTGCGTTTATGGTGTTAATAGTGATCACGGACAGTGGCCGTTCGTGTTCGGAACGTGAGAGAAAGTGTTTCAGTCTTCACTTCTCTGCCTGCCGCGCCTGTGACAGTGGCAGCCCATCACAGGACGGTATCAGGCCCACAGCACACGTTTGTTGAATGAATGCATGAACGAATGAACAAGTAACCTCACGGAGTTGTAGCTGTTGCTACCTTTGAAAGTGTTTGGATTGTGTAGTGTTTATTGTATTTAAAGTTTGACAGAAATATGAATTGCTGTAATTTTAGCCCATCCCAGGAAGGGAGACGGAGTTCTGTGTATCGGCTCAGGGTCTCAAGTGACCGTTGTAATAAAGCAGACAAACTGCAGGGCGTGTGGCTGGACTCTAAAACGTGTGCGTCCGTATGTGCACCATGCAAAATTAATCGTTCGTCCAAACGTTAGTTTTCTTGTAAGAGGAAATGTAGTGAATAAAACAAGCATTAGAGTCAAGAGCGCTGCCAGAGACGAGGCGTTAGTGCTCGCGCCGGGACAGAGCCGGCCCTCGCCCGCCCGCTCACCTGAGTCCTTCCGCTCCAGGGCCCGGCTACCCAGACCTGAAAGGAAAGTGGGGTTTGGAGGATGCTGCCGGCACGGATGGCAACATGGGGAGAGAGTGCTGCCTCAGCCTTCTTGGGCTCCCCCACACCCTGTCTCTCTTGGCGATGGGCAGAGAAAAGTGTCAAGCTGGCTGGGGTGGAATCAGCAGAGCTCTAGCTCTACAAGTCAGACTTCTTTGAAAACAACAGTGAAATTGAAAGGTTCAAATATCTCAGTTTAAAGACCAGGAGGGACAGGTACGGAGATGGAAATAGAAGACAAACGTTGTTTTGCCTTAGAAGGATACCCTAGGCTTACTGACTTTATCCCACCAAGAAATCGTCCTTTTTAAAAGTTGCTCATGTGGAAAAACTGGATGAGGGGTATCAAGGAAAGAAAGTAGACTCAGTTGCCCATAGGTACTGACACTTTCAAAAGAAAGGAAAAAGTATGAATATAATAAAAGTATATGCTTTTTAAAAAGTTTCTCATGGCTGGGCTTGATGGCACACACCTGCAATCCCAGCACTTGGGAGGCTGAGGCAGGAGGATCGCTGTGAGTTCGAGGCCTGCTTGGGCTACACAGTGGGTTCAAGGCCAGCCTGAACTGCATAGTGAAACATTGCCTCAAAAAGGCAAAAAAAAAATAAAATTTTTTTAAAAAGTTTCTCATGTAAAGCCAAACATGGTGGAAATGCTCGTAATCTCAGCTCAGGCAGGAGGATTGCAAGTTCGAGTCCAGCCCAGGCAACTTAGTGATTTAGTGAGACTTTGTCTCAAAAACAAAAAGAAGTTTCTCATGTAAAACAAACAAGAAAACTCTGTCTGGGAAGCCAGCATATTCCCTTTCAGTCCCAGGACTCAGCGAGGGCCCCCTGCTCGGTCTTCCCTCCAGTAAATGCGGAGTTAGGCGGTGGGGTCGGGTCAGGCAGGGGGCTTCCTAACCTGGAGGCAAGGCGCTAGGCGGGGACGCGTCCTCTTCATCTGAAACAAGAAACAGGAGGAAAAGTCAAGGAGAAAGGACTTCTTCCTGGGAACCTGAGGAGAGAGAGAGCTGGACCAGAAGAAGAGACACCACACACAGCCGATCCAAAGGCCCAGGAAGCGTGCCGAGACAGTGCCTGCGAGTTCAGCTTCAGTAGGTCAGAAAAGAGAAAGAGGAAAAATAAAAGGAGAAGGGTGCCAGGTGTGGAGGCGCACGCCTGTAATCCCAGCACTTGGGAGGCTGAGGCAGGAGGATCACCAGGATTTCAAGGCCAACCTGGGCTACATAATGAGACCCTGTCTAAAAGAAAAACAAACCAAAATAATAAAGATAATAATTAATAATAAAAATAGGAGAAGGGAACTGGGGAATGCAAATCAAAATGCAGATAAAAAGCAGAACTGTGGGGAAGAGTTTCATGTGACAGGAAGTTTAAAAAAATCGATGGTAAAAAGCAAACCTTGACGAAATCCACACTGGAGATGGATCTCAAGTTGTTCTTTTGTGGCTAAAGTCAATGACAGATGTTATTCACATACGGTGCTCACCCAGACACGGACACGGAGGCCTAGAGGTGCGGATCGGGAGCTTGTTTCTGCCCGGAATGCCCACCAAGTGCACTCTGTGTATACGAAATGAAAGCCCAAATGATAATATAAATCCGTACGTCTTACCAAGTTCATCAAGCAGTATTTTAGGAACCTTGTAAGCGTCTTCCCCAAGATCATATTGGTCTTGGCCAATGCTGAATAATGTCTTAATATTTACCCACACAAGTTTGTAAAATTCAAAATATGCCCCGTACTAAATCTCCCCATTCTCTAAAAGACCTGAAGAGCAAAGTCCACATTTGAGATGGTCCAAGAGCCATTCGGCATTATTAGAACCTCTGCCTCTTTTACAGAACATAATCGTTCTGCACTATAATTATTAGAATAATTGCGGGTTTCAAAATGTTAATTTAGCTGGGCATGCTAGTGCCTGCCTGTAATCCCAGCATTTGGGAGGCTGAGGCAGGAGGATTGCTGAGAGTTCGAAGCCAGCCTGGGCTACACAGTGAGTCCAAGGCCAACCTGAACTACATAGTGAGATCCTGTCCCAAAAAAAAAAAAGATCAACTTATATGGCAGTATAAAATATGATGTAGTAAATCAGATGCTAACTAAAAAGTGTTTTTAAAAATTCCTAGGAAGAAGAGGTAAAGATGGTCCATTTGGGTATAATTTATTAGAGTATTTGCTACAAAAATACTGCTTCATGACCTGAAATTTCTTTACCCAAACTTTTATCTTATTATTTCTTTTGTTTTGTTTTGTTTTTTTTGAGACAGGGTCTCACTATGCAGTTCAGGCTGGCCTTGAGCTCACTTTGTAGCCCAGGCTGGTCTTGAACTTACAACAATCCTCCTGCCTCAGCCTCCCGAGTGCTGGGATTACAGGCGTGTGCCACCATGCCCGGCTTATCTTATTATTTCTTAACAAACTAATGCACTGCCTTGCATAAAGACCCCCCAGTGTCAGCACTTCGAACTCAGGAGCGGGATCAGGGGACCTCGTGGGGTTTGGGAGTCTTTGTGGAAGTGTTTGGGGGGAGCGCGCGAGGCTGTGTCCCTCGTGTCCCGTGTGTGTTTACGGAAGGACATAAGGAAGCCCTCAGGGTGCTAATGTGCCCTGGGGCCACATTTGGGGACAAGAAATGACACAGTCTGTCGCATTCCCCAAACTTGGCTCGCCTCTGAATTCTGTCAGAAGAAAGGAGTACCAAGTAACATCACCCATTAATGTCCTGTGGCTCTGAGCATTTGCGAAAGTGTGAGTACTTCCTCATTATCAGAACTCTGTATTTCAGAAGACAGTTTGATAATTAAAATTCATACAAAAACAAAACACCTTGTAATTTTTCTATAGTGTCCTTTTCTATAGGTTTAATTTGGTCTTTTATTCTTGCCACCTACTCAGAGGCGATTATTCACGAAATATGTAAAGAGTCTTGATTTAAAGTCTTGTAAAACTTAAAGAAAAGGAAGTTTTAAGATTCAGCCAAACCCCGGACAGGAACTTCCTTCATTGTGTGTAAGCTGGGCTGGAATCAACAAGAGAAGCGTTCACTGATTCTGCCCTTCGGACGGGTGGGGCAGACTTTCACCTGGGGAACATACCGCAGGTATTGGGTTCTGGCCTTAACTCCTTGCAAAGTTGCCTGGTTAAGATTAGCTGAACTGAGCAAGGCTGAAAAGTTTAATTGTTCTTGTTTCCTAATAGGAAACCGGATCCTATTAGAGGAAAATTGAATATCCAGGTCTCTCAGGCTTGGTACAGTTCAGCAACGCAGGTACAAAAGACATAATAGCATCTTACAAAAACCAAGCCTGACAAAGCCAAGCTGGATGCGTCCAGTCGTGGGAAAATAGTGTTTAGAGACCATAAAAATGATTTTTTACACAGCTGAGGTTTGCAGGGAAGAACTCCCAGAATGGAAGAGAGAAAGCGCTCAGCCTCCTGTCGCAAGCCTCGGGTGTTCAGGGGATGCGCGTGAGTATTATGGGATTGGAGCCTCAGAGGGGCAGCAGGTGCAAATCCTCAACCTCTCCACAAAATGACTTCTACCTGGAGTTGGTTTCAGAATGTCTGCTTCAATGTTTTAAGTAATAAGAGATAATCAAGGGATTTTAGAATAAAGACTAAAAGCACATAAAATATGTGACCACCCAAAAACCAAATATCAGTTAAATGGTGGGAGAGTGGTTTGTTAGACAAACTCATGAATTCCTCAAGCAGGGTAATCAGTCGTGGTAAATATCAGTATATGAGAATAAAACATCCGCAAGATACGGAAGGTAGCAACAAAAACTAACACGAATTCATCACACTGGAGGTGCTGGATGAATGTTTCATCTTTCCTTAATGAGAAGACGCCTGTCTTCACACTTGGACACTCCTGAAATCAGGATTCATTTTACAGTAGCTGCGGGTCTGTAGTGAGTGTTCCTCCCCCAAGTCTATTCAGTCAATGGAGTATCCTGTAATGGCCGTGCCCTAACATTGAAAAATACGCTGATATCAATTTTCAACCCAGGGGCTGGGGATTTAGCTCAGCGGCACAGTGCCTGCCTGGCAAGTACAAGGTCGTGAGTTCGATCCCTGGTACCGGAAAAAAACCAAAACCAAAAACGATGGCACAAGTCAGCATTTTCCAAGCATTTCAAACTTTGAAATGCCTACCTCAAAAAAAGAAAAAAAAAAAAAAAAAAAAAAAAAAACCTTTCAACACAGTTCATTACCAGGAAGTGATGAAGTTAAAATGCACAGAAGAAAACCACAGAAACATCTTAGTAGATGCTTGACTGACACCTGAAGGTAAACTGCGGAAATACTTTAGCATGCTAATAAAAAGCACAGGTCACCTTACCGCGGGTTAAGGGACCTAAATGAAGAAAAAAGTGTGGTCATTCTTTTCATGTCAGAAAGCGTGTCACTGAGAACATTTCCGGTTTCCCACGGGTTCACCTCCTCTGCTTCCTCAGTGCCAGGACGGACCCGTGCGCCAGTGAGAGGCGTTTAATGCGCACGGGCTCCCTCGGGACAGTTTGTGTGGGAACCCTAATGCCAGGGAGAAGATCAGTTTGTATTTCACTGCATTCAACACTACAAGCAGTTATTTTTCTGGGAGAAAAGCAAAAAGAAGCAGTAATTATTCTAATTGGGTTTA